GCACGTGACCAGAGCTGGCAAACCAAAGCCGACCAGAATTATCATTTTGACGAGTGTTGATAAGCTATCTTCCGGTGCGGCACCCAATCCCACCACAAATGAGTATCCGATGTACTTCTTGTCGTCGTAGTACTTCTCGTCATCCGATGCGCCAAACGTTAAGTTAAACGAATGACTCGATTTGGTTCTCGTGTTGAAGAATGACTCCAAGAAAAGGCTATTATTTTTGGCCAAATCGGTGCCATTGATACTATCAAAGCCTTTATGAATCACATCCAAAGTGTTTGCGATGATCCTGTCGTCTGAATTATATGCGATTGGTTTCCATTGAATGAAAGCCTTGTTCTCGTTCTCACTCTTCGACCCTTTGTTTGAATCGACTTTCATGTGAATCAGCTTTTCATTGAGAAAACATTTCATACATTAATCAAATTCATTCAAAATTCATGTCAAATAAGTAATCATTACATCGAAGGCTCCGGGAGTGTACTCGTCATCAATCGATGTTAACGTTTCGATAGAGGGATCAGATTTAGTCGTATTGTCTTTGATATCGTTGATCACAAAGATAGAGGTCATAACTCGGGGTAGAATCTGGTCGTGGAGTGACTTATTGAAGGCTTCCGTTTTGTCGTACTCCACATCCATTACATTAAGACTCAACGAAACACTGTTATCAGTGAACGCCAAATGAGGCAACTCTTCGCCTCTGCCATCACTCGAGTCCACTCTTAAGACAAACTCAATCGTTCCTTTGATTGCACTCTCGTTGGTCTCAATTTCGTCTGAGTTCTTCAAATGCAATTCAATTGAGTCTTTGGCAGAACCATTCGCCACTGGAGTCCAATGGAAGTCCTTCCACATCACCTCAAAAATGGGATCTTTTTCATCATAAGAACCACTCTTATTGATGTCATTGAAGAAGAAGAGTCGACTGAATTGAACGCCGATTGCATTCAACGGCTCTTTACTGAAGCTAATGCCTCCGTCCGGAGATGTGCTCTTCGTCTGCAGAAGTTTTGCGTAATCGATGGTAAGAGTGGCGTCCGATGGGGTCTTAACGATCAAAAGCGTGGGAGGAATGGACGTGATTGAAGACCACAAGAAGTGAATCGTATCGCTCGTGTCTTTGGACGAGATGTGCACCAAATTGAGTGACTTCTTGGCGGCAGTCCATTGCTCGCAGCTTTGGTCACATCCAGGGTTCACAACATAACTGAGTTCTCGGCAATGGATTGCATTCATGAGACACAACACGAGGAATACAAGTGATGGCCATTGGATGCGATTAAGACACGAAAATGTTTGCATTTTTTATTCATTAATATTTCAAACAAATGAATGAAAAAACTTTTGAATCGATTCTACATTTTTGTGAATTCATTCATTTGAAGGCGTTTTCGTTATCAATGTTTTTGTTATCATACATATCACACAAACAGAGACTCACTTTTCAGGGTATGTTTGGCTCTAAAGTTTAGTCTAAACTTTGGTTTAAAATTTAAACTTTAAATGCTTTAATAAACCAATAATATTGTACAATAAATGTATTAAATTTAATTTTAGTTAAATGAACTGAAAATCTTAAGTGAAACTTATATTTTTATAAAAGATTTGCGAGTTAAACAAATATGTAATTGCAACTGGGTATTTTACGGTGAATATAATAAATTTAAAAATATGACTGCAAGTTTTTTTTAAGGAAAATTTTTATTTGTTTATTGAAAAAAAAATAATAAAAAGTAATAAATAAAATCAATTTAAAGACAATTATTTATTTAAAATAATAATTTAATGTTTATATAAACCGGTTATATATAACGTTGAATTGAATCCAATTAAGTCGCGACTCTATTACAAGTTAACACAAGAGATGTGCAAAAATAGAGATAACACATGAAATCGCATTCAGAAATTAATGTCATTTAAATGTCATTTATTGGTAATCAAAGTACTGTATTAGAAATCAAATGATAGGAAATACACCTCAATTTCTAAGCGAACAAAACTGTTTGAATATCAGAAGAATGTGTTGATCCAAATCAGCGGTGAATAAGAGTGTCTCGAAAGTTGACAGATATTTGAAGACATGGTTGTGGTGCTGACCAGTCATAGTATGGCATACAATGCAGTTAATAATGACACCAAATAAGAGATTTGTCACAAATAAATACCTCAAAGAATACTTGTTGTAGTCGTCCGATAGTCCAACGAAACCAATGGCTTTTAAAGGGCTTTCCCTGTGATTCACATCTCTGGATGTGTTCAGACAATAACATA